GACTCCACTGTAATTCCATTCTTTCTTAAATTTTCTCAAGTATTTTTAACAATTTAAACAATACCAACAGTTTGTATTCAGAAAAATGACCTCTTTGCAACTTAGTTTCTTCAACCACCAGGATATTTTGTTTATAATGGGATCACTGATTAATTTTTTAAAATAGTCCTTGAGTATTTGTTTTTAATAAAGCCATATCAAGAGTTCCTAGATTTTAATACTATTCAAATTACACAGAAGAATGGTATAGATGCAAAACTCATTGTCATATCTTATGATTCAAGTTAACAAAATATTTATTTAATTCTTAGTAATATAGTAATTTGATACTATACTTCGTTCTTTTCAGAATAAACCTATATTGTAGCTACTATAACATGCAGTCTACAAAGATATTTACACTATAGCATGCGGTCTACAAAGATATAGTGTAAATATCTTTGTAGACCACATGCTATAGTGTAAATATCTTTGTAGACCGCCAACAGCTTCTCAGGTAAACAGTAATATGTCTCAAGTTGTCAATCAAATTGAAATCCAATATAGATTATATTGTCAAAGTGCTACACAACATCCAATTAAAAGGCACGTCGCATAATATGCACATATCACAATTTCTAAAGGTGACACTTTGCCACCTATCACATTTTTTTGACAACCATGCCATTAAGTGTCTTTGAAGATGAGCTGTTTCTCTAGTAATAGCAAAATAATAGAATTTTCCAACAAACAGTTTTAATGTAGAAGCAAGCATTCTTATTTATTTCAGTGCATTGTAAACTTTGTTTATCCTTAAACTTCCACCTCCTACAAACTAAATGTGACAGTTAAATCTATACATGTAATATATTCATCATCATTTTAGAATTCATGATATTTTTTCTTCCCTTTTTACACCTGTAGAGTTAGCTGATGCACTAGCTAATCCTATTGCCTACCAGTCTATGGTTGAAAAACATGCCCAACAGTTGATGGCCTTGACAGATGACATTGAAATGGTCAGTTTCTTGTTGGTGTGGATAATGTAATAAAAATACAATTTAAATAGTTTTATGTTTCTGAAGTATCCATTCTTGTGTGTGTGTATGATTGTTAACTTGTGAATGATCGTGAGATACTAGAACACAGTGAATTTTCAAATGAAACCTGTGAGTTCACTTTCGTTTTTGTGTATTTGATACACAAAATAATACCTTGTATTCACATACATCATTTCTTTAAATACTGAATTATTTCTTTATCTCAGTATTGGTTTTTCATAACTAAACACTTCTTCTTCTTTTTTTAACAACTTAAGGTTTTCATGATTTTCGTTTTCCATCATAACTTCTATTCTTATCTCTTATAAAGTACTACTCAGACTATTTTGTCTTATTTTCATACTCTATCTAATTATGGATTTAAATTCATGTTCAAATTTGGCATTGTTGGTTGTTAGTTTCACATCAGATATAAACCTTGATTCATATGTACTTCACTGTTGGTTATTAATTTCACATAAAATCTAAACCTTGATTCATATGTACTTCACTGTTGTTGTTAGTTTCATGTAAGATCTAATTATCTATTCATATATACTTCACTTTTGGTTGTTAGTTTAATGTATGGTTAACTTTTATTCATATATACTTTACTGTTAGTTGTTAGTTTAATGTATGATAAAAACTTTTATTCATATTTACTACACTATTGGTTGATAGTTTCAAATACGATCTGTACATATGTACTTCATTGCTGGGTTTTAGTTTTAAGTGAAATGTAAAGCATCATTCACATGTACTTCAATGTTGGTTGTTAGTTTCACATAAAAAATCTAAACCCTTAGTTACATGTACTTCATTGTGCCAAGAACACAAATTTATCTGTAGTCACATGAAAAAAATTGTATTATTTTTATTAGTAAAGAGTATAATAGTCAATAGGATTATTTTAACAACAAAAAAAAGACATTGAAAGAGAATAGATAATTCTTCTGAAAATATACATAACTCACTGTTAACTTCTTTCTTTGTGCTCTGTGTGTGCCATGTCAAGGTGAGTTTTGTGTTCATTAACTTAAGGTATATATTTTTTGGATCATTTATAATTTGTGTTAACTTTGTTTAAATTTTTACAAGTGTGATTTTAACAAAACCACTTGCTGAACTTCCTAGCTGATTTCCTCACTACTAAAGATGTGTATGTAGTTAGTGTATATTTCTGTTCCCCCTCTCCTTTAATAATATTTTACAAGGTCATATTCATTTTGTTAATAATTTTAATGATGAGAAAAACCTCTTCTTTATCATAGATTAAAAGCCATTAGAATATATACCAGAACAAAATAAATAATAGTTATTATGATATAATTTTGGCTTTAAGGTTAGTGTCTTTTTTTTTTCAGTGATAGTGAGTGGTTTTAATAGAAAAACAAATTACCTTTAGATATTCTTAACGGTGACTTAGCTTTCTGTTTTATTGAAAGGATGAAGGAAAACCTCCATCCCCTCAGGAATCCAGAAGACCAGATGCAGAAAGAACAAGAGTACTTGGGAAAAATGATTCTTTTGATGTTGGAAGGAGTGGAGAAAGCAGCACAAATGTGAAGCATGATACCATGAATGGAAACATCCAGCGCCCAGGCCCTGCAGGAAACACTTCTCCCATTCTCAGTCGTCAAGATACTGTAAACAGTAAGTTGTGTAGTTATCATACTATTGGAAAATCTTTGTGTTCAGGATATTAATATCAAACAGTAAGTTGTATAGTTCTCATACTATATGTACATAAGATATTAATATCAAACAGTAAGTTGTATAGTTCTCATACTATATACATAAGATATTTATATCAACCAGTAAGTCATCTATTTCTTACACTGTTGGTAAACTGTAGTTTTGAATATACGTTCAACAATAGCTTATTTCTATCTTACGTTTGTGCTAATCTTATTCATTTAAAAATATATATTTGACATTATTGTCATCCTTTCTTTGTTGGAGGTTTAATATATTGTACAACGTTGACTAAAATTGTAAGAGATATTTTAAAAACATTTTAATGTCTTGTTTTTAAAGCTTAAAGTATCCTTTTATTTTCTACTAATAGTAATAACATACTGATGTTACAAACCAGCCATGATGGAATAGTTACCAAAAAGGATAACTAAAAAAGTTTAAGTAGGTTTCAAAAGACCAAGAATCTTGAACACCTTCGAATCAACTATTTGAAAGTGCTGTCGCCTTTCGAAATCTAATTGGTGTATCAAATGCGTTACTTTCATAAATTATTCAGGAAATTTCTTAACTAGTGGATCTTGTTAATCTTCAAAATATGAATTTATTTGCTTTTCCTGCTTCTGTAGGTTTTTATAAAATATACAAGTTATTTTAAACTTCCAACTTTCAGAAAGATTAAATCAATCAGTCAGAAGCTTGTCAGATGATGCTACTGCAGAAAAACCAACTTCCTTATTGGGTGAGCAAGTTTCATAGACAGTCCAGAATTTTATTAACAGCTTATACTTGCTAGTTTCCAGTCATTAGTAGAATGGTCCCTATTTGCAAAGTAAATCACAAAGTAACCTTTGGATTAACATTTACTTGTTGCTAGGCTGAAGCTTTATAATATGTGGTTGTCTAGATGAGAATGTATAACAACACATATTAGTAGTAATTTAATAGTAATATTTTATTAGAAGTCATTTTTAAAACTTCAGAAACTCGAATTTGATTATTATCAATTGTCACTATTCGTAGGTGTTTATTTTGTAGCTTTAAGTTTAAAAATGGAATAAATATGTAACAAACATTGATATCTGTAGTTTTGTAAGAAAGAGCAGAGAAAAGTTGCTTGTTTCATTGGATAAACTTCCCACAGAATCAGCAGAAGCCAACATCAGTGCAGAAACCATTGAAAAAATAAAGGAATCAAAATTAGTTCAGAAAGTACAGACCAAGATAGAAAGAGATCTCACTCTCTTACGTAAGAAATATGAAAAGGTTAGTTTCAGTGAATAACATTATTTTTTTTGTAATTTTAAAAAAATTATTCAAGGAGAAACTATAAGGGTGCTATTATAGTGTGTGGTCTACAAAAATATTTACACTATAGGGTGCAGTCTACAAAGATATTTACACTATAGGGTGCGGTCTACAAAGATATTTACACTATAGCGTGCAGTCTGTAGTGTGCTGTCGACAAAGATATTTACACTATAGTGTGCAGTCTACAAAGATATTTACACTATAGGGTGCAGTCTACAAAGATATTTACACTATAGCGTGCAGTCTACAAAGATATTTACATTATAGTGTGCGGTCTACAAAGATATTTACACTATAGCATGTGGTCTACAAAGATATTTACACTATAGCGTGCAGTCTACAAAGATATTTACATTATAGTGTGCGGTCTACAAAGATATTTACATTATAGCGTGCAGTCTACAAAGATATTTACACTATAGCATGCAGTCTACAAAGATATTTACACTATAGCATGCAGTCTACAAAGATTTTTACACTATAGCATGTGGTCTACAAAGATATTTACACTATAGCATGTAGTTATCAATATTTGAAATAATAACTAGACACACATTACTGGTTACCTGAGAATATTT